AAAAACACAAGTGCAAAAAAAGATTTATGAAAAAGTTATTATTTAACACTTACTTTGTGCTCAATGGTCGTTTGTAGATTCTTATCCAAATGCACCTTTATAATTTGGGTGCCATCCAATTTGGCACAAATACGTTTGCCTACGATCTCTGCTGGAAACACTAAATCTTCTAAAATAAAATACACAGCAGTTAAACTACGCGAACGGATTATTGCACCGTCTTGTTTTTACGAAAACTTTGTAATTACTCGTTCACTATCTAAGTCTTTACGATGCTGATATAACTCCTCTTCCTCTTCAAGTGGTCCTTGCAAACCCATATGAAATATTTTTCTCATCCACCAGAAACTCCATCACGAAAATATATTAGCGGTTGAGTAGGGATTCTTTGGGCGTTCAATTTTTCTTCTAGTCCGATTCATGTTAAATTTCTTTATTTACAGTTACGTTTGGTTATGATAAACCAAAAATGTAGTAATAAATTCGAAGTTCAAGAAATGAAGATAACCGACACGAGCACCACTCAATATGATAAATGCAACAAAAATTTTTTAAATCGTGAATAATAGTAAATAGCAATGCAAAAAATTTACAATATTTTTTCAATGTTATAACAAAACTTTATAGACAATGTACGGTAAAATTACGCGTACTCGTTCTCGTATTCGTACAACAGAAATTATTTTCAAATAATTCCTTATGCAAATCATGCAAAATTGTTATATTATTCTGTTTAATGAATTATTATTATATAGACATATTGAATTAATTGCTGCAAGTTAATTGCTAGACTCATTAAATTTGATGAATGTTACCAATATATGAAGCGTAAACGAAACATTGGACCACTAATTTTAAACAGCAAAAAACACAAGTGCAAAAAAGATTTAATGAAATAAGTGTTATTTAACACTTACTTTGTGCTCAATGGTCGTTTGTGATTCTTATCCAAATGCAACCTTTATATAATTTGGGTGCCATCCAATTTGGCACGAATACGTTTGCCTACGATCTCTGCTGAAAACACTAAATCTTCTAAAATAAAATACACAGCAGTTAAACTACGCGAACGGATTATTGCACCGTCTTGTTTTTACGAAAACTTTGTAGTTACTCGTTCACTATCTAAGTCTTTACGGTGCTGATATAACTCTTCCTCTTCAAGTGGTCCTTGCAAACCCTTATGAAATATATTTCTCATCCACCAGAAACTCCATCTCGAAAATATATTAGCGGTTGAGTAGGGATTCTTTGGGCGTTCAATTTTTCTTCTAGTCCGATTGATGTTAAATTTCTTTATTTACAGTTACGTTTGATTATGATAAACCAAAAATGTAGTAATAAATTCGAAGTTCAAGAAATGAAGATAACCGACACGAGCACCACTCAAATATGGTAAATGCAACAAAAATTTCTTAAATCGTGAATAACAGTAAATAACAATGCAAAAAATTTACAATATTTTTTCAATGTTACAACAAAACTTTATAGACAATGTACGGTAATTATGCGTACTCGTTCTCGTATTCGTACAACAGAAATTATTTTCAAATAATTCCTTATCCTTATGCAAATCATGCAAAATTGTTATATTATTCTGTTTAATGAATTATTATTATTAAGACATATTGAATTAATTGCTGCAAGTTAATTGCTACACTCATTAAATTTGATGAATGTTACCAATATATGAATAAGCTACAATTCAGTTTGAGCAATGAAGCGTAAACGAAACATTGGACCACTAATTTTAAACAGCAAAAAACACAAGCGCAAAAAAAGATTTAATGAAATAAGTGTTATTTAACACTTACTTTGTGCTCAATGGTCGTTTGTAGATTCTTATCCAAATGCACCTTTATATATAATTTGGGTGCCATCCAATTTGGCACGAATACGTTTGCCTACGATCTCTGCTGGAAACACTAAATCTTCTAAAATAAAATACACAGCAGTTAAACTACGCGAACGGATTATTGCACAGTCTTGTTTTTACGAAAACTTTGTAGTTACTCGTTCACTATCTAAGTCTTTACGGTGCTGATATAAGTCTTCCTCTTCAAGTGGTCCTTGCAAACCCTTATGAAATATATTTCTCATCCACCAGAAACTCCATCTCGAAAATATATTAGCGGTTGAGTAGGGATTCTTTGGGCGTTCAATTTTTCTTCTAGTCCGATTGATGTTAAATTTCTTTATTTACAGTTACGTTTGATTATGATAAACCAAAAATGTAGTAATAAATTCGAAGTTCAAGAAATGAAGATAACCGACACGAGCACCACTCAATATGGTAAATGCCAAACAAAAATTTTTTAAATCGTGAATAACAGTAAATAGCAATGCAAAAAATTTACAATATTTTTTGAATGTTACAACAAAACTTTATAGACAATGTACGGTAATTACGCGTACTCGTTCTCGTATTCGTACAACAGAAATTATTTTCAAATAATTCCTTATGCAAATCAAGCAAAATTGTTATATTATTCTGTTTAATGAATTATTATTATTTAGACATATTGAATTAATTGCTGCAAGTTAATTGCTAGACTCATTAAATTTGATGAATGTTACCAATATATGAATGAGCTACAATTCAGTTTGAGCAATGAAGCGTAAACGAAACATTGGACCACTAATTTTAAACAGCAAAAACCACAAGTGCAAAAAAAAGATTTAATGAAATAAGTGTTATTTAACACTTACTTTGTGCTCAATGGTCGTTTGTAGATTCTTATCCAAATGCACCTTTATAATTTGTGTGCCATCCAATTTGGCACGAATACGTTTGCCTACGATCTCTGCTGGAAACACTAAATCTTCTAAAATAAAATACACAGCAGTTAAACTACGCGAACGGATTATTGCACAGTCTTGTTTTTACGAAAACTTTGTAGTTACTCGTTCACTATCTAAGTCTTTACGGTGCTGATATAAGTCTTCCTCTTCAAGTGGTCCTTGCAAACCCTTATGAAATATTTTTTTCATCCACCAGAAACTCCATCTCGAAAATATATTAGCGGTAGTAGGGATTCTTTGGGCGTTTCATTTTTCTAGCCGGAATTCTGTTATTTCTTATTGTACAGTTTAACGTTGATTATGATTTAACCCAAATGTGTATAAATCGAAGTCTCAAAAATGAAGATAACCTTACACCGAGCACCACTCCAATATAGTAAATTGCAACAAAAATTTTTTTAATCGTGAAATAACATAAATAGCCAATGCAAAAAAATTACAATACTTTTTCAATGTTCAAACAAAACTTAGAGACAATGTACGGTAATTATGCGTACTCGTTCTCGTATTCGTACAACAGAAATTATTTTCAAATAATTCCTTATCCTTATGCAAATCATGCAAAATTGTTATATTATTCTGTTTAATGAATTATTATTATTAAGACATATTGAATTAATTGCTGCAAGTTAATTGCTACACTCATTAAATTTGATGAATGTTACCAATATATGAATAAGCTACAATTCAGTTTGAGCAATGAAGCGTAAACGAAACATTGGACCACTAATTTTAAACAGCAAAAAACACAAGTGCAAAAAAAGATTTAATGAAATAAGTGTTATTTAACACTTACTTTGTGCTCAATGGTCGTTTGTAGATTCTTATCCAAATGCACCTTTATAATTTGGGTGCCATCAAATTTGGCACGAATACGTTTGCCTACGATCTCTGCTGGAAACACTAAATCTTCTAAAATAAAATACACAGCAGTTAAACTACGCGAACGGATTATTGCACCGTCTTGTTTTTACGAAAACTTTGTAGTTACTCGTTCACTATCTAAGTCTTTACGGTGCTGATATAACTCTTCCTCTTCAAGTGGTCCTTGCAAACCCTTATGAAATATTTTTCTCATCCACCAGAAACTCCATCTCGAAAATATATTACCGGTTGAGTAGGGATTCTTTGGGCGTTCAATTTTTCTTCTAGTCCGATTCATGTTAAATTTCTTTATTTACAGTTACGTTTGGTTATGATAAACCAAAAATGTAGTAATAAATTCGAAGTTCAAGAAATGAAGATAACCGACACGAGCACCACTCAATATGGTGAATGCAACAAAAATTTTTTAAATCGTGAATAACAGTAAATAGCAATGCAAAAAATTTACAATATTTTTTCAATGTTACAACAAAACTTTATAGACAATGTACGGTAATTATGCGTACTCGTTCTCGTATTCGTACAACAGAAATTATTTTCAAATAATTCCTTATCCTTATGCAAATCATGCAAAATTGTTATATTATTCTGTTTAATGAATTATTATTATTAAGACATATTGAATTAATTGCTGCAAGTTAATTGCTACACTCATTAAATTTGATGAATGTTACCAATATATGAATAAGCTACAATTCAGTTTGAGCAATGAAGCGTAAACGAAACATTGGACCACTAATTTTAAACAGCAAAAAACACAAGCGCAAAAAAAATGAAATAAGTGTTATTTAACACTTACTTTGTGCTCAATGGTCGTTTGTAGATTCTTATCCAAATGCACCTTTATAATTTGGGTGCCATCCAATTTGGCACAAATACGTTTGCCTACGATCTCTGCTGGAAACACTAAATCTTCTCATAATAAGAATTGTTTGTAAAATATTGAAAAATATAAGTAATGATTTTTCGTTGGAGTATTAGAATAAATATAAGTAAAATATACATCCAACCATAAAGTGGATAAAAAAAAAACAAGTTATTTCCTATATTTGATGAAATAAATTAAAAATAAAACTACTGCAATAAAAATGAGAAAACGAGTTTCTATTTTAAAGTTTGCAGAAAATGATGGAAAAATCACACTTTTAATCATCATTACAAGTAATTTATACTTCTAGATCAGTAGAAATAAATAGAAATATCAAGTGAATTATTTTATTAGTTTAGGTTTTAATTAGACGGTATTTTAATTAAAAATAAAAATAAAATCGCTTATTGTGTATAAATTCTATAATCCCGAAAATGGTACTTACCAAGCCATCGCTGCCATTTACTTCGATAGCTGTTTTAAGCCTCTGCGATAATTGTTCTAATAATCTATCGTATTTTATATTTAGTGCATCGAGTCTATGGCTATAATACTGTGTTGCTCCTGGGTCACTGTCTGGTGGACGTAAGTCTCGTCGTGGTGGTGAGAAAGATGGACGTGCCTCTATAAGCCAATCCACAAAGCGTAGACATTTGGCGTCGTAAATCTTGATAATTGTTCAATTCTTCGCCAGAAAATTTCATTTGGTGCCGCTCGTCATTTACAATTTTAGAGTGAAATTTATCGATAATTTTGTGTTCATGTTGTTGACTATCCAATTCTTCTTTAACAGATGATAAATCTGATCCATAGTCGGCTGCAAGTATTTGTTTCTAAACGAGAAAATATGTCAAATTCATATATAAAAAAAAGTTTTATTATACTGATTATAAGTAAGTGAGTAAACTTTTATGACAAAGAAACAGAATCGGTCAGACCAATGTTTTATTATTCTTCCCTTATTATTGCTATTTTATTTTTATATAAATATTTGGAATATTAGATATTATAAGAATATGTAATTGTATAAGAAAAATAATTTTAAATGCATTAGTGGAACTTAATTTTCCAATAAAAAAAAAAATAAAATAAAATCAATTAAATATTTCCTACTTCACTATATTTCATTTAAGAAGTTTTAAAACTCCATTGCACAAATTAAAAAATTTTTCATTTTTATTAAGGAGTGAAAAAATGCAATATAAAATAAAATAAAGTAACATTAAAAATAATGACAGTCTATCATGTGTTTTCATTGTTGCACAAAATGGGAGCACAAAACAGAAAAAAAAGCAACTGACAAGAAGACCAATGACAAAAAAGAACATTATTGTATGTACCAAAAGCAAAACACGAGAAAAAGAGACGTCACTTTCTTCCAGTGCTCGTTAGAATGGAATAGTCATTCGAATACAGAAACACCAAAAACATATGAAACGAATTGATAAAGGAAGCGCGCAAGCAGAACAGGCATAAGCAGCAACCGCATGGAAATATGAGCGACACACAACACACCTTTCTGTACCTTGTTTTTGTGTACAATTTGTTTTGTGCACAATCAACGTAAAATCTGCATAACAAAGAAAGACAGTAAAATATTTCCACATTCTTGAGTTTTGTCTTCAACTCCGTACTCTTTTTAATTTACTCTTTTGCGTACAAGCAGTGCGAGAATAGACAAGAAATTTGTGTGTTCTGCTATATATAATAAAATCACAAAATTTTAATTTTATTTTGGAATATAAAAACAATAATTATTGTTAAATAAACTCAAATTTATTTATGTTTTAACTATTTATTTTTAAATATTCACACACAATTTTCAATTTTCGCTGAAAATTTTTCCGTACACTACAGATCGCGACCGTATTGTTCAAACGCTGTAAACGTAATAAAACTGAAACACTGAGAAGTCGTGTATATAAATCAGTTTGTGTGGATTGTATTAGCAAACTTGTATGCAATACAATCCACAATGCTCTTCTCACCAATTGTTTAGTATAGTAACTGTATGATTTATATGCGTTCCTTCTCTTTTGAATAACAAACAAAATGTTATGCAGAAGTTTTACAGTTTATAAAACTGCACAATGAATGTGGATTGTGGAAATGCACTTTAATTGATATATTTTTCGGCTTATTAGTTTTTTTAAATATTTAAATTTTATATAACATGTATAAATATAAATTATTTAAATAATTTTTTTTAAATTTTTTTACAATTTTATGAATTAAATCATTTTTAATTGCAGTTTATTAATATACGTAAATAGTAAAACCCGCAAAGCAGGAAAATGAATTTTTACTTAATAAAATTCAATTAACTCAAAAATATATTATATATTAATTATATCAGCAAAACTAATGTAATAATTTAATAAAATTAAAAATTATAGCAATTTACATAGAAAATAACTTTCATATATAGAAAATAATTATTTTAAAGACATTTTTGACACTGATTTAAATGAATTTCTAGAGTATTCCGATGAATTTCGTCGAAATAAAAATTAAATGAACTCATAAAAGAATTTTTTAGCCGGTAAATTTGTGTAATTATTTACTATTATTAATTTATTAAGAAAAAAAAACCTTTTTTTCTGCAAACTTAATCCTTAAATTAATTCGCAAATAATTTTATTATAAAAAAAGAATTCAATGAACCACTAAAAAGGTTTGATTCATGCATCAAATATATATGTATGTACTTTAGATAAAGTTTTTAAAGTCATTCTAAAATCAATTTTTTTTTTTTTTTGCTAAGGAAGCTATGTAAATATTTAATAATATTTTATAGTATATCTAGATATCGTATAGGCTAATGTGCTTCTGATGTCGCAATTTTTGGCTGCACGTTCAAAAATTTTGTTTTACATGCGCAGTTCATTTACATGTACATGCGTACATTTTTAAATGCATTGGATTTCAATAATTTACTGCAGGCTTTTAGTTAACAAAGCATATAAGTTTTGATTTATTTTGTTTGAGGTAGCTCTGAAATTAACAAATAATAATTTAAGATTCAAAATAGTAATTCTTTGAGGAAATTGGCTACTTCTGCTAACAGAAAGGGAAGATAAAAAGAAAATTTGCAAACATCGCTTGCACAACAAATTAAACAAACTAACAAACACACCATATGTGTGTAGTGTGTAGTGCACGGCCTCAAAAACAAATAACTTGACTTCCAAGACGGTGGCCGCCTAAAATATTTATGTTCTACTCTGTGCAAACAAACAACAGCAAAAACGAAAATCGAAAAACTGTATAAAAAAGTTGTTAAATAGAGAAAGAAGAAATAACAGAAACTGAACCGTTTGCTTGCAGTGAGAGAGCAGAGCAAATGATTTTTGATCAAATTCACATACGAATAAGAGTAAAATGACAAGTGCAAAAAACTGCCGCGCAAAATTTATTTGCATAAAATATTTTTTGTTATATATTTGTTAAGGGGCAAACATATATTATAAGCTTATATATATTTAGTTTATTATAATTGTTTAAAAAAAATTTGTAATATAAATTACAATTTTTTTATAAATTAATTTATTAGCGAATATATTGTTTTTCGCTCTTTCTCTATTCCTTCTCTCGTAGTCAGACAACTCTCGCATACACACATCCATTTTCGTTTGGCGCTTCTTGAAATGAAGCAAAGTAAATTTCCAAAGCGAGAATTGAGATTAATATGTCCTCAAGTTTTCCTTTGATTGCAATGCATTCTTCTGTGAAGATTCGGCTAACTTGTTTGCTTTCCTCTAAAAAGTATAATAAAATATTTGAATACGTTTTAAATCTGTAAAATTAAATTTAAGCTAAAATTATTTATTTAGTACCACGAGTTCTACGGCTGGCAAATAATTTCTTCATCACAAACGATACAGAAATAGTTTTAATAAGACACTACTGAAGAGAATACTATTTTCGTACTAAACAAATTTATGTATTCAATCTAACATCAAGTAAAAAATTTACACTTAAATTTAATTGAAATTAAGTTCGTATGACAGTTAT